TTAAAATTCTAAGGGCTAACTTGGAATTAAAGTATTCATAAGAGAAAACTTTACAAATTCCAAAACTTGAGGGCAAGTTTTGAAACTATTCAAAACTAATTAATTCCATAACTTATGTGTTTAAAGTAGTTTTAATCCAAAAACTCTTCAAGTTCCATAACTTCATGGAAGACTTTAAACTAATAAAAGAATTAACTTTTTTTTATTTTATAACTATGGAATTAATTAAGGTTACACTTTTATTTTTTAATGAAGTGACTCTTGAACTTTCATAACTTGAGGACAGTTATGGAGTCATAAAAAATTTCAATACACAGACTCTTCATTTTGTAACCATTTGCCAACTTTTATGAGTTTTATGAAACTTTAAATGTGACTCTTCATATAACTTGAGGACAAGTTACACAAAACACATTTTAAATCAACTCTTAGATTAATTTGGATTGAAAGAACTATTTCATTAACTTTTTATTATATAAGCAACTCATAAGAACAAGATAATTCAAATCAAACTTTTCATGTAATTAGTCTAAACTTAAACTAATACAAAACATGAAATCTATTGACAATTATCTTTGAAATGGATTGCATGAACATTACCACATTAAAAACAAGTTTATAAGTTCAAAAACAACTTAGGGTAATGTTCCTAGTCCATTCTAGCCAAAAACTCGAATATGCTTGTCTGGGGGTCCAACTCGTCGAGTGCATGAACCAACTCGGCGAGTTGGATGCTTGCCTTGGCATGACTTCCGAGTCTCCTGATTCGCCGAGTATGCTGACAGACAGCAACAAATCGTTTTTTCAGCTCTATTTGCAGTATAACAAGAAAACAAGCCTAGGCTCTGATACCACTGTTGGGTTATGAGCATTCTAACACTCCTAAGTGTACATGCAACCCTAAATACCTTGGATCTATGTTTTCTCTATTATACATGCAAATATGAACATCCAAGGTATTATCCTAATCTAGCATACAAAACTATCAATATAACAAGATAGAATACATACCTCTTTGATGTATAATGTCTTAATGAAGCTTGAGTGCCTAGTGCCCCAAGTGTAACACCTCAAATGGTTCACACAACACCAAATACACTTGGAATGACTTGAGAGAATTCTACACTTTATAAAAATCGGCTAGCCCTTTCTTTCTCTCTCTAGTGGCCGATTTTGATCAAGAATAAGATGCTTATATAGTTATACAATTAGGGTAAACCCTAATTGTCATGACTTTCCATTTCCTTGGATCCATGGGTTCAAATACACCATGGAGCATCATATGGGTTTTGGCCCAACTGGATAATCCATGGAGCATTAGCCCACTATATAAGTATGGATGATTTGCACAATCAACCCATATATTTAATTAGTCTTCTTTTGATCACTTAATTAATCCTAGATTAATTCTTGATCAATACGAATTAAATAATCTTATTATTCTTATTATTAATATACTAGAACTTATAATATATTAATAACCATAAGTGTCTTATTTCTCTCATTTTAGTCTATCCAAGTGCATGATGCCATGCAACCCAAATGGACCATGCCGGGTCGGGTCAAGTCTTACCAATTATAGTTATGGACTTAGACATTAATCCAACATAACAGTCACGCCTCAGAATAACTCTATGAAGAATTGTTACTGTAGATGCATGATTAGGGCTACAACGTAGTAATTATAGTTAACAAAATTATGATTTAAATACTCTAAACCTATTAAATATGGTGGACAGGCCCAAACATTTACATAAAAGACTTAACTAAAGGCCCAATGATGCAACACAATAATTCTAACAATCTCCCCTTTGCATCAATTGATCAAGAGTCCTTTAGTTCAGAATCCTCTTTTGCACTTCAAATACTTTGGGAATTAAGTTCAACAGTTCCTTGTGAAACTGGATATACTAGCAAATCATATACGAAAAGCACTTCTTATCACCAGCACTATTTCCTCGAAACTTATTGGTCATACTCAAAACATGCTCGAGACAAGAGGTAGAGTACATGTGTTTATCATCAAGGAAGAAACATGCCTTGTGATAATCAGAGTCATTTCATTCCCGTCCCTGGAACACCATATAGCAATCTTCCTTGTAAAATTTCCCAAGTTTCAGCTTTTCAAATCCTTTGGGAGCTTATTTGGGAACAGAAGAAGGTTTCCTACGCTGGACAGTAGCTATCTCAACATCCATTTTACCCACTTCTTGAATGTATGATATGATCATAAGTTTAAGATGGCTGAAAATAGGTTCGTACTTTTGCTCTTCTCGAATAAGTAGATTGTAGATCATGATCCAGTTATAAGGATTGATACACCGCAGGTCTGTGAGAGTGAATTCATAAACTCTGCTTGCAGAACCTCTGAGAACTTTGAATTTGGCATTTGGGAAGTTATCAGTCTTGATAGGTCCAGTAACCTTTACTGATGTGATCTTACTCACACTCCATATTTCGTACTAGGGTTTCATGTAGTTGAGATAGAATGCGAATGGAAGTTGCTCAAATCCATTGTTAATAGAGGGGATGTTCGCAACTTTAATGAAAGAGCAAAACATGAAAGATTTCGGAGTCATTTGAAGATCAAGTTGTGAGTCGTGAGTGTTTTGACGTTCAAAGGACACAACATATTCTAACCAATACTGGCTTGGCATGTCAATTGCTTCGTTTTGAAGATGCTTCGGAGTCCACTCAGGGAACAAAAGCTTTCTGCTCTCAAGTGTGACCTGAGCATCTTTTTCAGCCTTCTCCTTAAGCTTCACGAATAATTCGTTGATGTTCGTCCATCTCAGCTTCGTGATCCTTTCGCCTTTTAAATCAGCTTCATCAAGCTCTTCTTCTTCTTCTTCTTCTTCTTCTTCTTCTTCTTATTCTTTTTCTTCTTCATTTTCAATGCTAGGATCATCAGAGAAAAGTTTCTCTTTACATGTTGGCCCATTTTCGCTTTTAACAATTGGCACATGCTTAACAATAGTTGGTTTTGGTTTGTAACAGTTGGCTTTGGTTTATCTCCGCCTTGTTTGGGAATGCCTGAAGATTCCGAAACACCTTCCAAATGGTGAAGAATAGCGAATGTAGACCTTAGCTTTTCTCCCAGATATTTTCGCACATTAATAGGAATCATCAACTCCGTGGCTTCAATAAGATCCGAGAGCAAGGCAGTGACATCAGAGATGCAACTTTTCATGACCGACTTCTCCGATAACAGATCTTGGATTTGTTTCTCAGACTTTTCGAGCTTCAGAGAGAGAGAGAGAGAGAGAGAGAGAGAGAGAGAGAGAGAGTTTTCACTTTCTCAGTCTTCACAGCGAAGACATCCATCAGTTTTCTTTCCATCGCTAAATCTTCTTGAAGCTTTGTGAGTTGAGAAGAAATGGAAGACTGGAACTTCTTATGGTCATCTTTGAGACCTTTGTGAACTTCTTGAAACTTTACTCTCTCAGATTTCATAGAAGAACTCAAACCCAAAATTACATTGTTAGATGTAGCAGTGATGGACTCAAACAAAGTTTGAAATTGTGTGATAAAATATTTAGCATCAGAAATTAGTTTATTAACTTTTTTGGTCGTTTTGTTGCATACTTTTATAGATCCATCCAATGTAGTGGTCATCCTTTCAAGATTGGATGAGTGTTCTTTGGTGAGAGTTTCAAAGATGGAAGCATGAGGATGTGCATTGATTACCGAGAGTTGAATAAGGCAACAATAAAGAATAGATATTCGTTGCCAAGGATTGATGACCTATTCAATCAACTACAAGGTTCAAGTTATTTTTCAAAGATCGACCTAAGGTCAGGATATCATCAGCTGAAAGTAAGGGAGCAGGATATCGCGAAGACTGCATTCAGAACGCGATATGGACACTATGAGCTCTTGGTTATGTCGTTTGGACTGACCAATGCTCCAGCAGCATTCATGGATTTAATGAACATGGTTTGTAATCTGTTCCAAGATAAATCTGTGATAGTGTTCATAGATGACATTGTGATTTATTCGAAAAGCCAAGAGGAGCATGGCAGACACTTACGAGAAGTGTTGGAAGTCTTGAAGAAGGAGAAGTTGTATGCGAAGTTCTCCAAATGTGATTTTTGGATTCGTGAAGTCCAATTCTTGGGTCACGTGGTCAACCAAGAAGGGATAATGGTTGATCCAGCGAAGATCGAAGTTGTGATGAAGTGGGAACAACCGAAAAGTCCCACAGAGATCTGAAGCTTTTTAGGATTAGCCGGATATTACCGAAGGTTTATCCAAGGTTTTTCTTCGATTGCTACTCCATTGACAGCTTTGACCCACAAAGGAGCTACTTATGCTTGGAGTGAGAAGCATAAAGAAGTGTTCGAGAAGCTAAAGAAGAAACTATGCGAGGCACCGATACTTTTTTTACCCGATGGAGTTGAAGACTTCACTGTTTATAGCGATGCGTCTGGTGTTGGATTGGGTTGTGTTTTTACCCAAAGAGATAAGGTGATCGCGTATGCATCTCGACAGCTGAAAGAGCATGAAAAGAACTACCCGACTCATGATTTGGAGTTGGTAGGGGTAGTTTTCGCTCTGAAAATATGGAGGCATTACCTCTATGGCACAAAGTGCAAACTTTTTACTGATCATTAGAGTCTCCAATATCTCTTTAATCAGAAGGAATTGAATATGAGGCAACGATGCTGGCTAGAATTACTTAAGGACTACGACTGTAAGATACTTTACCACCCTGGTAAAGCAAATGTTGTTGCTGATGCTCTCAGTCGAAAAGTCAATCTTGAAAGAAAAAGGCCAAGAGCATTGAGAATTGAGGTTGTCTCGACTATTTTGGAAAGTATAAAGAAAGCTCAAAGCGAAGCTTCTGAGAAGAATGACCGAAAGGACGAACGTTTGGGAAAAACGTTGGTGTTCGGTATAAACAGTCATGGACAGAAGGTGTTCCAAGATCGGAGTTGGATACCTAAGACAGGAGGAGTCAGAGATCTTCTGATGGAAGAAGCTCACAAAACCATGTACTCGATTCATCCCGGTAGCACTAAAATGTATAGGGACCTAAAACCCTACTACCGGTGGCCAACGATGAAGCTTGATGTTGCAAAGTATGTGGCTGAGTGTGTGACTTGTGCAAGAGTAAAGACACAACATCAGAAACCATACGGGAGTTTAGAACCATTGCCTGTGCCTATGGGTAAGTGGGAAGACATTGCTATGGATTTTGTCACTAAACTGCCTAGAACAAAGAATGGTCACGACATGATATGGGTGGTAGTTGATCGATTCACTAAGAGTGTGCATTTCATAGTAGCCAAGGAGAAATGGTCTATGGAGAAGCTTACAAATTCTTACGTAAAGGAAATTGTGAGGCTTCACGGTGTTCCATTAACGATTGTATCGGATCGTGATAGCCGTTTCACCTCGAGGTTTTGGAAAAGTCTACAAGAGGAAATGGGTACCAAGTTGTGTTTAAGTACAGCTTACCATCCGCAGACTGATGGCCAGAGCGAACGAACGATACAAACGCTTGAAGATATGCTAAGAGCATGTACCTTGGAATTCCTAGGTAACTGGGATGAACATTTACCGTTGGTAGAATTTTCCAACAATAATAGTTTCCACTCGAGCATTAAGATGGCACCTTACCAAGCTTTGTATGGACAGAAATGTCGTACGCCGTCTTGTTGGCTTGAGGCTGGGGAAAAGCAGTTTATGGGACCGGAGTTGGTTCATCAAACTGCTGAAAAGTTGAAAATAATTAGGGAAAGAATGTTAGCAGCTCAGGATCGTCAAAAGAGCTATGCTGACAAAAAGCGAAGACTGATGACTTTTGAAGTTGGGGATTCAGTTTTGCTTAAAGTCTCACCGTGGAAGGGACTTATAAGATTTGGCAAAAGGGGAAAATTGAGTCCAAGGTTTATTGGACCGTTTAAAGTTCTTCAGAGGATTGGGAACCAAGCTTACAAGCTCGAACTACCAGAAGAACTGAATGGCATTCATAACACTTTTCATGTGTTTTATTTGAGGAAGTTCACGGGGGAAGTTCCCGACATGATTCCACTTTCGGAGTTGAGAATTGATAAGAACAAAAGGTTGATTGAAGAACCAGAGGCAATTGTTGACCGAAAGACTAAGAAGTTGCGACGCCAGATGGTCCAGTTAGTGCTTGTCCGATAGAAACACACGAATGGGCCGAATCTCACCTGGGAGACGGAGAGTGACATGATGGGTCGCTATCCGCATTTGTTTGATGATGTGTGATTCCGGGGACGGAATCATCCTAAGGTGGGGAGAATTTTAACGCCCGTGTTTCTGGGCTTGCCATTTTTAGCAATGTAATAGTCTAGGTTAACCTTTGTAACCCAATTTGAGATAATAAGAACGTGTTATTTGAATATTATGTGTTTTGTGCTTAATTGCTTAATTGTGTGATATGATTAATTAAGAATAAAATGAGCGTCAAAATTTAAGTGTAAAATAAACTTGATATCATTGGATAATGTTGTAGTAGTTGAAACGAGGTTTCCGAATATATATAGAACGCCCAAATCTGACTTCGTATGAGGAAGTTATGATTTTCTGAAGTTTCGACGTGGCAGTATGCAGCCCGAATACTCGATTTGAAATCGAGCGGTTTTTAGCCAAAACAATCTAAACGAGAATCGAAGATCTTGTTGTTAGTAGCGAAACGATGAAAAGTTAGGCGAGAACGGACGTCAGACGAAGAAGTTATGAATTTATAACGGAGTTTTTCTGTCCCGGCCTTCTAAAAATAAATAATAAAAATAAAAGTCAAAATTAGCCGACGGAATCTAAATGAAAGTTGTAGAGTATGGTCTGACCTACGCGTGGATATAAAGAATGTCAATAACGGAGCTCGTATGCGAAAGTTACGCAAGTTTGAAGTTTGCTTAATAGCGTACGCCCAACGTAATTTGGGGTACGCTACGCGTGGATATAAAGAACGTCAAAAACGTAGCTCGTATGCGAAAGTTACGCAAGTTTGAAGTTTGCTTAATAGCGTACGCCCAACGTAATTTGGGGTACGCCCAGCGTACCCATGAACCGCCTCAGCTACGCATGCAATGACGTCACTCGAGCACATATGCATGCAATGACGTTGCGTACGCCCAGCGTACATGAATTACGCCCAGCGTAATCGAGGCTTCCAGCCCCTATAAAAGGAAGTCGAGGCTGCCGAGTTTCTTTGCTCATTTCTTCCTTTTCTCTCGTGTTTTTGCATCGTTTTGCGTGCCAGAAGTACCCCGAAGCCCCGAAGAAAGTTTCGAAGCCCAAAGATCCCGAGAAGTGCGATTCCCGAGCAGAAGCTCTGTCCGCGAGAAGTTCGATTTTTTGTAGAGATCTTCCAGATATGCTGAGGATTACTACTTCTACAAGCCGTAGTGCTGTTTGATCATCTTCTGATCAAGTGAGTGTGTAGTTACTTTCTTCTAACGCATAATTATGTGTATAATTTTATTGTTATATGTGTGAATGTATATTCATTCTCTTCTATCTCATAGATCTTATTTATTTTCTATGAAATACGTGTTATGTGGGTGTGCCTCATCTGTTATGTGGAATATGTATTGAATGAAAATGCTATACAGGTTTTTAAACTATGTATGAAAATATATATATTTATATCTACTAATATGTTGGGTAGAACATGGGTAGATAGTTGGTGTGTAATAAACAGATGAGAGGCCTCGATGTTGTTATTGTTAACCTAGTTATTCAGCGGAGTATGGATAACGACCACAGACTCCTTCTAGACAGTCTCGTGGAACGCTAGCAGGTTCATAACCTGTAGGTGTTGTGAACGATGTGTTCACCGGTGTACTCTATCCCCCTCATGATTGCCTTTAGGATACCTATTGTTGAGGAAACCCCTTAGCAGTAATGTCTGTCCTGATGAAAATCCTAGATTAGGTCCCTTGAGATGGATGTTGATTTAGGGACGTAAAGTGAGGATAATGGGAATGGGTAATCGGGATAGTGATTGGTTGGTGAAATTAAATATAATTTATTTATTGTGGGTTGAAAACCCTATATGCTCACCAGGCTCCCAAGCCTGACCCACTCAGTTTCATTTGTATTACAGAAAGTGGCGCAAGGGCGTAAGATGGATGAATCATCTAGTTGTTTTGTTTACAAGTTTGTATATGTATATATTTGTTGAATGACTTGTAATGTTATCGTTTATGCTTTATGGTCTGTATAGGAACATGCCATCCCGAGTTTTGATTATATAATGAAAATGCATCTCTTGATGAAATGCTTTGATAAATATTATTTTATCATGTTTTGTTTTGGGAACAAATTCCGCAACACTTTTAAATCAAAAGGATTTACGCTGAAATTATTTTAAAAAGCATAAATGAAATCGGTCTTTTCTGGCCGTGATTTCAGGGATGTCGCAGTGGCAAAGGGAGAAACTTAAATTTGTATGATGCGTATGAAAAAAACAAGCGTAGGCATTTGGATTTGAGAATTGATATCTCCAGGCGGACGTATCGATTTATAGGGGAAAACGGGCAAATGTTTGTTAGACTGATCTCAAATCTAGTGGAATCACATGTACCGTTGCATTATCATACTTGGCATCGTGTTCCTACCAAGTACAAAGATGATTTATATCCCGAGCTAGAGGTAAGTGTACAATATATTTTATATGTATTGAATTTTTCACTTATTAAATATTTTTTACTAATCAAATATGTTTTTCCTTTTGCAGACTTATTTTGATATTAATAAGTATCAGGGCACAAACTTATGGGAACCCCTTCGAGCGGGTGGGTATCCACACAGATATGCATAGAGCTTATTGAGAGCGCAAGTATTAGATAAAAAATTATTTTAATAAAGTTGGTGGATATCATAATGTGGAAAGGGCAAGAAGATATCCACCGCATGATTGGACCACCAAAGCTTGGAACGATATGATTGATTTGTTGTTTTTGACTTTGGAAAACAGACACATGTCTGTCAAAAATAAAGTTACTAGGTCGAAACTTATGCACACAAGTGCTCACAAATGTAGATCATATGCTCAACGACGTTATTTAGAGATAATAAAATACATTAGTACTATTTAAAATTGTTATTAACATTTGTACAAATATATTTATTGTTTTTTCACTTATTATGTGATAAAATGGGAATCAAGCCCAACACATTGAGGGTTGGAGATAAATGGGCTACAAAGAAGGTTCAGGTTGGTGTATAAGTCAAGCAAAAGAAGATTGGGTAAGTGATAAACGAAATGAATCTGTTGTTTAAATATATTATTATTAATTATAGTTTCTTGTTTAAGGAATATTATTATTATTTTAATATTTAAGTTTAGTTGTTTGTTTTAATTAATGTATGTTAATTGTTTTCTTTATTTTAAGAGAAAATTCATGAGGGATGTGAGAAAATACAAAATGAGGTTGGGGAAGGAGGAGAAGTAAACGCGGAAGAATGTTTAGAACGTGCCATTGGGACGAGACGTGGACATGCTCGCGGGGTGGGTAGGAAACCAACCACCAACTTTAGTTTAATTCCAAATGAACGGCCTTCCACTTCCAAATCGTCCCAATCTCAACCCCAATCTCAATCCAATTTGATGCACAACAAATGCAAGAATATTTGCAACAATATAATGCATCATTGGCGGCATGTATTACGAACTTCCAACTATCACCATTTCCTAACTTTGTATTCAACTATAACACACAATCAAGTACCTCTCAACAATTTGCCGAAGGGATGGAAGAAGAAGAAGGAGGAGACGATTATGACAATGATGGTTGATGTTTTTTTTTCTTCGTATTTTGAACAATGTTAGTTAACTACTTATTATAATATAAAACTTGAATTTGATGTTTTGAATTTAAACAATGGTACCTAGTTAATATATTTCAATTGATATATATTGCAATGTTTTTTGGATTTGTTAAAAATGCAGGAACAGCAATGTACAAAATCTGTAAATCTAAAAAAAAAAAACAGCCAGTAGCTATCCCGACGACAAACGACAACTGTGAAAAATCTATACCGACGACCGTCATCACAATAGCTTAGACCTTTTGCGAAGTCGTGGCCACAGGTTATTAATAAAACTTTATTTTTTTCCGAAAATATCGTTGACAAAAGCTGTACCGACAACGAGTCGTCGCAATAGGTGGAGCTATGCCGACGACATAATGGACCTATGTCGACACGTTTATGCCGATGACTCTTTGCCGACAACATGTCGTCGGCATAGCCTATACCGACGAGATGTTGTCTGGATGGGTCCAAATTTGTTGTCGCCATAGGGTCCGAATGTTGTATTGAGTTGACCATCGAGCTAATGTCTAACGATTTTTAATATAAACAAAAACTTTACAAAAAAATACCACACACAAATATATCAAAAGCATGGAATCCAGAATCCTATTCCAAAATGAATCAAGACATTGAATGTCTTCGGTCTTTACTTGGTTTATTCCTGCCACTTGTACTCGAAGGTATAACCCCATCAACACGTAGAATCGGTATAAGCTTCCCCAACTTTTTCGATAAAGAATTCAAAAACGATTTCCGAGGAAACAGTGGTTTACTATCAGCAGAATAACGAGTAGGAACACCTGGGATGCGGACTACAGATTTCTCACTAGACAATCTTTCCACTTCTTTCAACTTCATTTTCATTTTTAAAACTTCAAGTTTCAGGTCCTGGTTTTCTTTTTTCAGCCATGAAAGCTCATGGGATGATGGCTTGTTGGTGGCGGTGGTAGCGGTGATGGTGGTGGAGGTGCCGGTGGAGGTGGGTTTAACCTCTATTAGACCATCACCACTCATTGTGTTACTTAACCGTTGTTGTTCATAGAAAATAACTTGACCCACAGTTTGCACAGGAAGCCTGTCATTTTGGGCAGCATGTGCACATGCTTCACTTGAAAGCTTTTCACAGTCCATCAAGTTGCAAACTTTCTTTCTTTCCATCTCACTTAATGTTGGATGAACCTGTAAAATGTTATATAAACAGTGGTTGATGTCATAATTTACCAACAAACTATTATCTTATGTTCTTGTTTAATCACTTCAATGTTGTTCAATATGTACCATTAGGACGTGGGGGTTATGGTACTTAATCAAAAATTGACCTTTTGTTAAAAAAAAAAAAAAAAAAAAAGCCAAATATTTGTTACCATTATGACATTAACCTTTATGAACTGCTATAGCAGGATTTACGAGTTTTGGGTGCGGATTTGAAGCAAGTGGGTCTACGTGTCAGTTTAGTCATTTTTAATGAGGGGGAGGTTGACTAACTATTTCACATATATTCTTCTTTAGTCATTATTAATAATATTTATTATATATCATTTTAATATAGTAAAATAAAATAGAAGCTTTGAGTGAAGGTGAAACAGCAAGGACATACAAAATATGATTGGTTCTCCTTCCATGCATTTAAAATGACTAAAATGAGTCAACTGCCACGTGGACAAAGTAAAAATGTACCAAATCAGCGCTAAAAACCAGTAAAACCTGTTGTAACAGGTCATAATCGCACATAGAACAATATCATTAGTTGGTTACGCTCCAAAATTATTAAAACGACTAAAGTGACTAAATGAGAACTTGCCAAACTATGACATCAACCCTATAAATCAAATGGTAAGAAGAAGAATATACAATTACATACCTTCAAGTAAATATCAATGGCTCTATAAATTGCATCATCTGATACCTTAGCTTGTTCTGGAATATGTTCAATAAAATTGATAAATTTTGATAGTAACAAATTCCTATCCGAAGCTATTTCAGCAAGATAACTTTCCATTAACTTTCCAACTTTTTCCATGTCGTTTTCTTGATTATTATTGATTTCTAATACGTGTTCAAGGTAATTCATCATGACTCTTTTGATAGTATCAACATCAAACAATGTGTCACCATCAAAATGAAAAGATGGAATTAGTATGTCATCCAAAACTGCCTGCCCGAGTTGTAAGCCCATTCGTTTTTCCAAGTCTAGCTTACATGCCATTGTTGTTTCAAGATATATGGCTGCCCGAAGTAGCATTGAAAGAAAACTGACCGACATTGTGTTTCTTTCTCTTGGTAGGAGGCTTACTATTGTTTCTAGAACTATCCTCTTTTCGTGTTCTTGTTTCGAGTCAATTTTTTTCTTGTTCTTTTGGTGTATCTCCTGTTTGATGTTATATTGTACATATGAGTAAATGGAAAATTATTTGATTCCTATGGGAGTTCTAATGAAAAACTCCCATTCAAGAATGAAGTGATTCATGTCAGCTAAAAATGATGCCATTTAGTAACAAGTAATTAGCCAATGTGTTAAATGCAAGAAAAGCAAAGTACTTTTATTTATTTGGTTAATATAACATCCTACTTCATTTCTTCTATGGTATTATAGTTTTCTTATTAAGATATTATACTATGAAAAATCTATCAATTATTCCACTGAAAATTGCTTTCAATTTGGATGACTGTCGTATGATTGGGTAGATTTTTCAAAGTATTATTATATATGTAATAGAAAAAACATGAAAGTTGAATGCTATGATGAAAGTATGTTAACGTTTCTTGCACTTTACCCTTCTTTCAATAAACCTAAAACAAAAAGAAATCTTACCAAACCTTGAAGACACTTCTCGGCATAAAGCATTAGAATTGGACCAAGTTCATTTTGTTTAAATCCCCTTGAAATCATTGCAAGAAGAACCCTTTGAAATATATCAATTCTAAGCACAATTAAATCTTCAACCCACCAATCAACTATACCTTTCAGATGTGATGAAGAAGAAACCAAATTATCCTTGCTTCTAGAAGAACAAAACTCACTTTCTTTGGTCACGATATATGCAATAGTATCAACACACCGAGTAATCAACTTTACTTTTTCAGCCATCGGTAACAAATTTACTGATGATTGCAAAATGATGACAGCACCAGCTAATGTTTTAAGTGCTACTTCATCTAAATAAGCTTCAGATCTTGTTACAAGGTTTCCAATTGCATAATCTTCTGTCATTTCAAGAAACTCTGAAACACATCTCACAATGGAAATATTTTCTGTTGATAATTCAAAGTTTATTCCATAACAAAACTTTGCTGCGAGTTCAAATCCTTCAGGGCCTCCAGGGACATCATGGATTTCGATCACTAAAGGATCAGAATCTGTGCGATTTGATACTATTTTTCTTATGTAACCACACTTTGACACCAAAGGAAACTGCATAAAATTACAGAAATATGATGGATAATAACAAGAGGATACATACAATCACAAATCATACCTTGTGTAATGAAAAAGAAGCACCTCCAATGTGAACTGTAACATCACTTGGGATTTCATGGAAGAAAATCCTGTTAACATTGAAAAAAAAAAATGTCTCTTTAAATATTCAAAGTTACAAGTATGGAATAAAAGTTGAGACTAAAGCAAACCAATCACTAGTTTTCTTCATGGAAGTGGCCATATGTTACTGACTCTAGTGCCTAGGCATTTTAAGGGTTCTGAACATCTACTGTATCAATAATTGACTAATCATTACATGAATCCTGTGCTGTATTTCACCACATACTCCTAAAGATAAAAAAAAACTTACGAAAGTACATACATTTCACTTGGTTCTAGGATGTGAGGAATGAGTTGTTTCTTTTATTCTCCACCATTTTTATCTATCTAACGTTATATGTACCATATCAAACTATCAACATATTTAAGGAAATACCCACGATTGGTATTAGGATTTAGCCAAGAAGGAGGAAGACTAGGAGAAAACAGTATTATTTTTAATGTTGGTATTAAACGAGGGTAATTCTAAGAAAATACGAGGAATTTGCGAATAGGGAGTGGTGAAAAAGAATAGGATTTTGGAGTAATTAGGATCTTTAACCGTGTAACTGATCTCGCGCAGCGGTGATTCTTGATCAAAAGCCATTAATACATGCAAACAAAAGGACCGATGCCAAATCTAGGTGGGAACCCTATAACCTCATTGCATATCTTCTTTTTCACTGTAACAAATAATGACATACAACTAGATTTTTTTTATAAACTTGGCTTGAAATCGTTTGGTTTGATGTGATTGATTTTTGGATCTTTGAAAAAAAAAATTGTGATTATTTTGTATTAAGAAAATTATTATCTGAGCTATTCACGATATTAACAATATTTGCAAAATTTTCAACATCAAATGATAGTGCATAATAAGGTTAAATAACAGACGTGGACATTGAGCATTATGATCATTCAATCATTCACGTTAATATCATAGCCTTATCAGATCCTACACAAGAATGGGTAACTTCTGGTTGTTTCTAGTGTCGACCCACTTCTTAATATAATTTGTCTAATACAAAAAAATCAAACGCAATGTATGATTAATTTAGACAATGTAATTTGCTGAAAATCTATATAAATATCCGATCCGGTGGTGAATCCTGTTGTCGTCGAAAAAATTTGGTTATTAGATTGAGTTGTAATCAATTATACAATATGTGACAAGTTACAAATATGACTATATAAACATAATAGTATAATATAAGTGAACTATTAATAAAATAATAGTTAAATATTCTTTAAAAATGATAGCATTACATTGGGAATATGGAAGAGGTGATTGTACCTTTTGTTTTGTGATGAAAATTTGTTTGGTTGTGGGTAGCTTAAATTGACATTATTTGGATGATATGCCATGTGTCTTATTAGTGTATGCCAAGATCTTCATCTAGTAATTGCATGGAGTCGTCTAAACGATTATATACCGGAATTGCACTCAAGGGGAGGCGAAAGGTGCTAGAGGTTTTACCGGAAAAGTTAGTGTTGGGTGGACAATAGTGGAGAAGGAAAAAGAGCGGTTAATTTGACATCTTAAGTCAATTAGATGATAGGTTTGAGTGAACACGGTCCGATGATATTGAACTACGAAATATATCTACCACATACATACACATACAAATGAGATTAAAATCAAGAAATTACTAAACATATAAATTTGAACTTTATATAAACAACCGTTGAAAAGTTTTGTACATTAAAGAAGGAAAACACAAATATCAAAGAATACAATCTATGTACCATATTTGTTGAAATATACTCAAACACCATCAACACAATCGGATCACCAATGTTTTTTATATGTGACATCTGATTTTCAATTGTGTTTTATTACATGATTTGTGGTTTTAAACTCAAAGGAAATGTAGAAGTAACGAGTGAATCGAGATACATAAAATGGAATTAGTCGTAAAAATTTGTTTGAGGCGCGATGAGTCACAGTAAATTAGGCTTCTATCTTAGGCCTTAGGATTTGGGCCTATTTAAGCACACTAACCAGTAGCATTTTCTCATTTTTAGCCTCAATCACCCCCAGAACGTCGAGCTCATCCTTCTCATAAACTTATTTTGGTGCTCATTTGTCCTTTTATGGTTATCATGAGCGATGGGAGCATGTAAGCTTGGGCAAGGGAACATTGATCTTGAAGAAGTCATCATTTTCTTCACCTCTAGACCTTAATAAGCTCTAAACACTCAAGCTTTATTTTGTTTTCTTCATAGATCTAGAAGTTTGTCGGGCTTTTGGTCCTTTTTAGTTTTGCTTTCTTTGAAGTTTGTTACTTGGAATTTGAGGAACTCCACAACTTGTAGAGGAGACTTGGGATTAGATTTGGTCATTGGATGAAGTAAAGAGTGCATGCAAGAGCTCTCTTTGCTCCAAGCATTAAAATAAGTACATTTTTGTCACTTTTGGTGAATTACGGTTTTAGATCTTATTTGCTTGAGCCATCCGAATGTAGAAAGTTGGAAAATTTATCCAGTAAGACATCAAGAAGTTTCAATTTTGAGAATTGAGGTTTCTAACTTAAACGATTAATTTGTTTAATAAGTTGTTTTGGGCTTAGACATTGGGCACGTCTGAGTTTTTCAAGATTCTGCAACTAAATTGTCCTATAGTAGGAAATAGGCGCCTGTAATGGGGCGCGAAGTGCCCTTGACCATTTTTGTTGACCTTTTGACTTTTGACCAAGTTTAACTTTGGGTCAATCTTTAGGGTTTTGGAATTTAGATTAAGGTTTCACCTTTGTTTGGTGTTTCGAGGGTTTGTGAGTATGCTTTGTGCGAGTATTCGTGCGTGCAATAGTGATTCTTTAGTTTATGTTCAGGTGACTCTTCTTACTATATTAATTATATCATGATTGGATCCTTTGTGTATAGGATGCATGAGTATAATAGGGTATAGGTGTTATAGGCAGGATCTCAAAATTATATTCATGATCCTTAATAATCTTGAAGACTGAGGATCCTTAGACATATCCTAGGATACTGATTGTTATCACTAATATTTACTAACACTTATAATGACTATATTCTTCTTTCTTTTTCTCATATATGCAGAATTGGTCAACAGAAGGCTCATTCTCAGTGGAGAATCCCTTCAACCAAGCTTAAGATCTGGGAATACCAAGTAAAACAATGTGCAAATACTTATTCAAGAAGAATCTTGGAAATCTCGGACTTCTTGTTAATTAGTTTAGACAATAAATAAAACATGTAACTCGCACACTACATAAACGATTAGCTCTATTACTACACTTGTTTCATATTATCTTCATCATCTCTGTAATCATAGATTAAAATCAATAAAAAGCAACAAGGCAGGTGATTGTTATCAACTCCCAAAGTTTTATGTCAGAGTTCCCAATTAGGATCAAAGGATTTCCTTGTAACTCTGTTACCTCACTTTGATCATTATTCTACACTTGTAATACACTAACACCACAACCTCTCAGACAATTTGGTTGAATTACACTTGATCGTTTTTTAACCAAAACAATTTGGTGCCCACCATGGGTTCGTGGTGTTCACAATCATTCGAAAATCATTTTTACCTAACAAACCTTATCATCTTCCTCCATTCCTCCCATTTTCTCAATAAACCTTCCTCCGCCTCTAGGTGGAGCTCCCAAGAAAACTTCTGAGGCATCAAAGAAAAACACATATTCAGTCGCTACCCAATGATTTCAAGATCCCCCTGTACTAATTTCCAATAACGAGCTCTTTTCTATGATGAAGAGATTGGAAAGACAAGTCACTCAGAAACAGGAGGATAACCGGACGATACTCAAGGAAATGGAGAGAATGAGGGCGGAGATCCAGTAACCCTAGGAAGCGTCACCTTCGATCTTGCAACCCAAGGTCCTAAACTTTTATAATGCAGGATCTGCAGGAAATCGTTGCGAGATAGGAACCTCAACACCGTCCCATGCTCTCGCTTGGGGTGCAGCTCTAAGGGAGCAAGCTCAAATGATCCAGGATCCCAGCAAAACCTTTGTTACTCCCAATAACAAGGATCATGGTAACTTTTTAATAATAACAGTTATAATACTAACTCCATGGACGTTGATGCAAGAATAAGCTCGGTCTTGGACAAGGAGCTTCAGCAGTTAAGGCATATGATCTCAACTGTTCTTGGGGTGGTCCAGCCTATACCAAAATCTTTCCCAATAAGCTACAAGCTCTTAAGATTTCCTTTGGTGATTGTTGATACCGAGTTCCCAAATTGCTTCCAAACACCAAGCATGAAGTGTAACACCCAAAATCAAAAATGTCAAGAAAGGAAAGAAAACCTAAGTCAAAGGGTCAACTCGTCGAGTCCAGGGAAGAACTCGACGAGCCGGAGTGGGATCCAAGGGATCAATTAAGTAACCGACTCGGCAAGTTGGCAAAGGGGACTCGGCGAGTCTGGTCTGAACGAGGAAAACCCTAAATTCGGGGCTTTGGGCACTATTTAAGCATCTTATTCTCTCTATTAGGGTTCCATATAGCCTCTCTCATCCAGAAACCGAAACCTTAAGCCCCCATTATTGCTCATTCAAGTTTCTTGCCATATTTTGGGTGATTTGAAGGAAAAAGGAAGGAAGGAACCATTGGGGATTCAAGGGTTTGCAGTAGATCCAGCGTTTGAGGGCTTTTCCAGAGCAATTCAAGGTAAGGAGTCGTTACCTTCCCTCTTTTGCATGTAAATCAATCTTGATTGTGAGTTTTGGGGCTTTTATGCCATGTTCTTGAACCATTTCGAGTTAGAGCCCAGATCTGAAGTTGCTACTTCAGATCTAAGTGTATTCTGGCCTAGAGAGTCTTAAAGTATCAGCCTTAGGGGTGTGGGTGAAGCATGTTTGTCTTAAAACCTAGCCCTAGAGTGTTTTGAGCTTAGATCTCCTTAGTTATATGTAAAGTTTGCAACTTTAAATGGGGAATGGACTTTGGAAGTATGGATCTATGATTTGGAGCCCTTGCATGGCTCAAAAAGCCATTGAATGGATTAAGAACTGGAGCGACTCGGTGAGTCACATGGGTGAACTCAACGAGTTGGATGAAGTTGGGCAGGAACTCGGCGAGTTGGAAGAACAACTCGACGAGTCTGTTGAAGATTGCCTTGGACTCGGCAAGTCTGTTTTTGGACTCGGTGAGTCAAGTCGCGAAATCCCAAACCCTTCGAGTTAAGACTTGGATCAGTGA